TTCATTCGTGCAATCATAGAGTCTGCAAATAACTATTATCTTTTATATAATAGATTCAAAACCACTTTGAAAACGTTTTTCAAACTCTTCAGTATTTGAATTTTCATTTCTTCTAGCAGTTTCTTTGGCTTTTTTACTAAAATTTACAAGCAATTCTCCTTTCTTGTTGAACAAATGCGATAAACCAGTTGTATGTCAGCCTGTACAGATGTCATTACCTGTCAAAACTGGACCAATCAGATAGCCATAGGTCGCCTTTTTAGCCAATCACCGCATAGATCAAATTTGTTTACGTGAATTTGACGACAGACGCGCGCTCTTTTTGTAAACAAATATATTTTTTGAAATTTTTTTCGTAAAAATCTATTATATAAAGCGAATAGTTAGGCTTAGATATGTTCTGTTCTCTGATAAAACACTCCTGAAGCTGTAGAACACTCAAAAAATCTCGAGCCGTAGGCGAGTGATTTCTATAACTTTTTTCGTGTCCTACAGCTCCAGTCGTGTTTTATCAGAGAACAGAACATAGCTAAGCCTGATCTATTTGTTAACTGATTATCTCGAAAAAAAAGTTCGGGACACCCAATTTTTCTTTCCAGATTTGGAATTAGCATTAAATTTCAATTCGGAAAATCGAAGTTTTAAAAAAAGTTTAAATCGTTTTCCAAAAGTAGGCAGTCACCTTAACTCATGAGATAAAGCTCTCTGCAAAGCGAAGATGCCTCGGCACAGCGAAAATCAAATTATCTTCGATAGAATCGAACTCTTTTTGCAAATCAGCTATGAATATAGACCCCTCGCATGTGACGTCAAAGTAGCTCGTTCTGGCGAAAAAGATCAATTTCAATCCCCTGAATATCGGAACCTATTGTTTTGTCCCCCAGATCAATCACCATTCCAAAATGCTGCAAGGGGTCTATTCAATATAATATTACATACCTTACTATCTTGTTCTCTGTGTGTGATGAGTTTCTCCATTTGCGAATACAAGACAAGCAAAATGCATGGCTACAGTAAGCTGAATACATAAGAAAAAGAGAATTATTCGAATGAGAGACAAATTGAAATATTTGTCGGCGGTTTTTTTTTTTTTTTTTTTTTTTTTT